AAAAATCTTTTGACTGACTGCTTACCCCATGGAGAGACCATTATTGCACATACATATTGCACAACACTGAAGAGGCTACAGTGTTCTGTTCAAAACCACCACCAGGGCCTACTCACTAGCATAGAGTGTTTGCTTCATGACAAACACATGACCACATGTTGAAGAAATAACAACGAAGTTGGAGAAATAGGGTTGGGAAAAAGTGGACCATCCCCCTTACAGTCCTGACTTGTCTCCTTCCTACTTCCATCTTTTCCCAAAATTTAGTTTTGGGGTGGCAAATGGATGACAACTGATGAAGAAGTGAAAGAGTTACAGACTGGTTAAATGAACTGACAGCTGACTTCTATGACAAGGGGATTGTCAAGCTTGTGCAATGTCTGAACAAATGCCTCAATCGCGATGGGGACTATTTAGAAAAATAAACAAATGTTTGATTAGTAAAAGTAAGTAAAAAATTAAAGTAAATGTATCCCTGTAACAGGCAGTGGAGGCCCATAGGGTTGTGAGACATTGAGGTTCCCACATTTTCTAGACAATTGGCTCATAGATGGCATCAAGGTTGTCAGCCCTACGCGCCGGCCACCCTTTACCCCCAAGAATACACCTGGTACTCATTTTTGTTATAGGCTGAGTTGACCCCAGGGCCACAGTGCGGCTGGAAGGATTAGGTCAACTGTAAAAATTCAATGACCTCATTGGGACTTGAACCCACAACCTTCTGGCTTGTAGCATAGTGCCTCAACCAACTACACTACCACGTGCTCCCGTTGTATCTAGTAGTGACATTAAAATTATTTAGATGAATAAAGTTTCCTTTTGTTTATAACAAATCAGTTCTTACTTTCAAAATGACCCTTGTACAATGCACCTGCATGTATGCATGCACATCTGTATGTAATATAAAAGTTAACAGTGGATCTAAAATAACTGATAAAATCTAAATGTTTGTTATAATATATTGTTACAGTTACTGTGTTTCTGGACACTGTGAATTGACCTGTTTTTATTTGATACACATCATGTTTCGGAGACTGGATATTGGTCCTGCAGACTGAACCAAACAAAACCTATACAAAATACAAGGAATCCACCCACATTTCTCTGGTAGATAATCCGATCAGTCAACCCAGCTTGGACATCTCTCCCACCTGCACTCCCATTATCACAGCACGAGTCAGAAAACTAGAACTGTCCAGCATAGATTATGTGTGATATTGTGTTCTTAGGTTGGTAACATACAGAAAATTTGTCTCTTTAGTGATGACCAGGGCCCGGATTTTGATGACATGTCATCCTTTTTTCCTTCTATCCTATGCGATGCTCTTATATATATATCTCGGATATGAGCTGCTGGTTAAAAAAATGTAAATTTTATAGGTAATTTTTTGTCATTCTTTGGATTTTTAAGGGTATTTCTTGTCATTTTTGGCCATTTAAGGGAATTTTTCTTCATATGTTTTCTGAAATGTGAATAACATGGAAGCGAAGTGTTCTTTCTTTTCTCCTTTAGGTCATTTTTCTGGATTTTTTCGGTCCTTTTTAAATATTTTCAGGTCATCAAAATCTGGGCCCTGGTGATGACTTGTGTTCTAACAGTACTCTGATTGTATCAAACATAGCCATGAAAGAGTGCATGGACATAGGTGCTAGGCCTCATGTGTGTTTTTTTTTTGATGATTTTAATGTTTCCCTAAATCTTGCACTCAGTGTATGCTGTGCTTGGTTTACATATCCTCTCTTGTGTTGGTGCTGGTGCTGAACAATCATATACATACATTAATACCAACAAAACATTTTAATGAATGAAACTTTGTATCAGGAAGAATCTTACAAAACATGAGCTAGACAATGCTATAATTACAGTAATTTACCTTGGAAGCACCCAAGACATAATGTATTTTGGAGGCATTCTTTTTCTTCTCCTCTTTAATTACTTCTTCTGCTTTATTTTTAAGTCCCTCAGTATCCCGATAATATTTGAACGATAGTAGATCTCGAGCATGTGCCGCCATGGGGTTCACATACCGAGCTATGATTTCGTCTAAGTCTTCAAATTCCTCACTTCCAATCCAGAGTGACTGGCCCAAGCTGAATGCATTTTCTTTCCCTTCTTCTCTTACATCAATATGCTGATATACCCCATCAGTAACTTTCCATGTTACTGTCAGATGATCTGAGCCCTAAAGTGAGATAAAATGTTCAAAAATTAATAATTTGTTTCAAATAACAGGAAATAATCAACCACACACTTTCAGCTTTGAAATCTGAGTGAAAAAAATATTTTATGCATTCTTTAAACAAAGTGCACATATACAGAATATATGTCCATCCAGCCACAGTACATGTGGGCTAGACTAAAAGCCATGAGCTATTTGAATTAAACATATTTGTGCCTAATTTATTCAGTCAGTGTACTGGCATAAATGTGTGGCCAATTTTGCTGAACTTGTAGGAAAGTACTAATGAGTGTTTCCACACAAATGCTTTTGTCCTGCTATAAAATAAATTATACTCATTACTTTTGACATGACCCAAGTATCTCCAAAACTAATGAACGGTTTTCAGAGAAATCTGGTATTCCAAACTTAAAAAGGGTCGGTATTCATCTAATATAATCCCCACTTTAAACTAAGTTCATGTGGAACATTATGACAAAATAGAAATATTATTAAGATTTCCCTATGGACACTTATTTAAAGAATGGGGAAAATAATTTCTAGCTCTCTGTAATGTGATCACCTTTCCAAAAATGGACTTAAATCTGCAATTAATGATCAAAGGCAATAGAGTACATGCACATCCAATCTGCTGTAAGAAATGTTGGGTTTATGAGCTACACTCCACCTCAGATACTGTCTGTACACTCCTTGTTCACCTTGTTAACTTATCATGCTGTGTTATCTAGGTCAATGGCTTTATGTCCCCACAATGTAGCTCAGCATGACTCAAAAAGTCTGCTGTAATGGAAGGGAGTAAAAATTCTGAGGAAAATAATGATGCATCTTTTCCTTCAAATAATTCCATCCATCTAAGGAGATCAATGGAACCCACAAATGTAATAACAATGAAGGTGGGCTGAAAACAGATGCCATATGTAAGAAACAAATATGAAGAGAAGCACATATGTAGTAACACTATATTTTTCCTCTGGAATTCCAGGAACTGATAATCAGTAACTAAAACTGGTGTCAATACAGGACAGATGGAACCATTATACAGTATTAAGTGAAATGGGAATATGATCATGAATAGCATGTAAGAATTTGCAAACTGTTGATCCAAACAATGAAAAATATCTTAGCATAGCTGATAGCCTGGAACCTAAAAACATCAAACCTACAGCATAACCCACGTGATTTCAAGTGGGGGGGGGGCAAGAAAGATTAAACAACTTACCTATTTTTGTATCAATAACTGAATTAAAATAATTTTAATTTGACCTCAATATGGTGAATAACAAGAGAAACAATTTTTTTTCATTATATGTGAAAACCAGAATCCCCTTGTTTTAGATGTTATGTGATCAAGTTGCTAACCTTACTTGAGGGTCTCACTATAACTTCTCCTTGATCCATCTGTTCCATCAGTCGTTCTGCTTCTTTGAACGAAATGTTATGGAAGGACGGATGAACGATAACACGTTTGATATAAGTTTGGCGCTGCTTTAATTTCTTCGCGTCTTCTTCCGCCTTCATGTCTTTCTCCTCCGCCTCATTGTCATAAAACGGATCTTTCGGAGGTCTGAATGCATATAATTCATATATTAAAACATGTAAAATTTATCATATTGTGGCATGTAGAGCTGTTGCCAGGAAACGACCACAAAATAAGTAACTATACAACAGTTGTTACTAGGCAGCAGCCAATAAACAGCAACAGAGCAACAGAGGAACGACATTTTCTGTGAGGTCAGTGCCAGGATGTCACAAGCAGGACAAGCTAGGAGGTACAGTTAGTTAGATAACTGGCCGTGTCATAGCTAAGGCAGTCAGTCGTCGGCTAACCACTGTGGTGGCCCAGGTTCAAGTCCAGGTCAATCATGTGGGATTTGTAGTGGACAAATTGGCACTGGGGCAGGTTTTCTCCAAGCATTTCGGTTTCCCCTGCCACTTTTCATTCCATCAGCTGCTCCACATTCATCATCATCTATGATCTGGAACTGGTATAATAGGTCAATTAGTAGCTGTTGTACCAAGTGGCCTCAGTCTCACCATACCCCAAAAAATACAACTAGTTAGATAACTGCTGGAGTTCAGTTGTTGTGAGCTGTTGCTGTGAGATGCTAGCAGCTCAGGCCAGGGACAGTTTAGGAACCCAGAGGAAGGGGAACATCTGGTGCTGGAAGCTGCTACCAAGCAACAGCTAGTGAAGATTGTAACAGACTGAGAAAACCTAGAGTGTCCTATAGTGATTTGTGAAGTGTGTGGAAAAGTGAGAGCATAATCCTTACTGTAGTTATGAGTTGTAAAAGTTCAATAAATCCAATTACCAATCCAAACCCTATCTATAGTCATTAAAATCATGAAAATGTATACATCTCTCAGTAGTATACATAAAATAACACAAATACGGATGAAGTTTACTGGTTGGCTGATTTATTTGATGATCCGTTAACTGAATCAGTTTTCCGCAGTGAGTACTTAGGCAGAGTAAAACAATTTACAAAACATTATGGCACTCCAGAAACATAATTAGATACAATAAACACTTTATTTGATAAACCTCAGAAAAACACAGCTTTATATAAAACTTATAACATTTTTACATATAAGTTCTCTGGCTTTCATGGCAATGAATATTCAGACTGTGGTCTTTTGGGCTGCAACACCAGTAGTTGTATTGGCAGATGCCAATGTTTCAGAGGAACATCCTACCTCTACCTTCAAGGTTAAGGTCTGTATGTTGAGGAATTAGCTCTGCTGCAAGGAAGATGGTCACAAAGACACAAGAGAGGTAGCAAGGGCATGGAACTCAGTATGGGCTATGAGAAGTGTGGGCAGGAAAATGTCCCTTTTATAGAACACACTACATTTTTCATCACTGGTACTATCTTTTCTTATAATTCCATTATCCACATTTGTCCCCTCAAAATGGCCATTTTCCTACCCACTGTTTCAATTAGCCAGACTGGGCTTCAGATTCTTACTCCCTCCTTCATGTCTCTGTGACCATCTCATTCGCAACCTGCCTATGTAACTGACCCCATTCCCCAACCTATATACAGTAAAACTTGGTTATAGCAACATCGGTTTCTGCGACACCTTGTCTATTGCGTCAAATATTCAATGGTACGAACTAATTCCTCATAAAGCAACTGTTTTTATACCTTGCTTAGTACGACATGCACAAATGCATCAACCTCGTATGTAACGTCATTTTCATTCCTGAATTTCTCTGATATCGTGGGAAAGTTCGATGTGTCTGCCCACCCTCACTTTCTCTACTTGCTGACGTGACTGTCCTGGAAGAATACGACCGCGGGCTGCAAGAGGAGCGTGGGTTTTATGCGAAAACAAGGGTGTGGGGTGGGACTGCGTGAATAGTGCAAGATGACCCGGCAGGTTGTTAACTGCATTTCTTTCCTATAATCTCGTCTAACAGGACCTCACATTGTCTACTTACCCTACAGTGTTCCTGCCTAAACCCAGAGAAGTGCAGTGGCGAAAACATGGCGATGAAAAGGAAAGTTTTAAGCATTGAAGAGAAAGTTAAAGTGATTCGTGAAATAGAAAATGGAAGGAAAAAAGCTGATGTATGCCGCGAATTTGGTTTGGTGAATTCTACAGTACAAACGATATGGAGAATCCATATTAATTCCACGTTAATGTTACGTTAGTCTGTACTTAACTACGTATTTCACTAAAAAAATGCAACATTTTAACTCGGTTTTTGGTAGATTTCTACGTGACTAACATAAGGCTACTGTGGAAGTGCCCATTTCGGTTACAACAACATTCGTTTATAATGACACTATTTTTAGGTCCCCTTGATGACGTTATAACCAAGTTCTACTGTACTTCCATCCTGAAGACAAGTTAACATGTTCCTCCAAAGTGTCAGTATCCACCTATGGACTACATGGTGTCACAACCATGGAGACCACAATCTAAAATAAATTCTTCGTCTCAAAGAGATGCAACACATTATAAAATGACTCACAACACCATCCAGTGTGATTGATTAATAAAAGCTGTATTTCAATTTTTCATTTTCCTTAACATGCTTCGGTCTTATTGCCCATCTTCAGGATTGCGTCCTTCTGGAGATCAATACGACCGAAACATGTTAAGGAAAATGAAAAACTGAAATACAACTTTTATTAATCAATCACACTGGACAGTGTTGCAAGTCATTTTATACTACTGCTAGTGTGACGGACCAGGACGAGCCAAGTCAAGATGCAACACGTCATATGTTTAACCTAATAAAAAGAGCTCCATTATAACAACATCCATACCTCAAATGATGAAAGATATACCAAAGGTGTAAACATTTTGCAGAAAAGAGGAACCACCTTATCTCTTTTCATTCTCGAGCAATTAAACTGTGCTATGACAGGCTGGTTTGCAGACATTTTAGAGAACTTGGCTGTCTCCAGCTTCAAGGGAAAGTAACAAATCAGTGGCCTGGTAGTAACGAAAACAACTAGGTTCTCCAAAATGGCAGTTAACCAGCTCACCACAGCACACTGCAATCACCCAAGAATGGAAACAAGATTAGCTAAACGGTGCAGTGAAAACATCTTGCTGCTGCAATTTGAATCCAAGCATTGCTCAATTCCTGAATGGCAAGGGTGACAAAGGGAATTTGCTCAGCGTAAGGAAGAGTATTGAAGGGTTAATCTGCTTACCTCCACTCATGATTTTTGTCGGCAAGGTCTGAACTTTTTGATGTACACTCCACTGAGAACCGTTCCACATCAATCTTTGTGACACGGCAATGAATGGTCTGACCCCTGGCTACTCTCTCTTCTGGGTTGCTGACATGTTTGTCTGAGAGATTTTTTATATGTATGTAGCCAGATATTCCATTATCAAGTCGAAGCCTTATCCCCGTTGCCTGACCTGGACAACCTCCTGCATCGAAATGATTCCACACCTATAGAGACATGTGATATTTTCATATATCAGGTTATTTTTACAGTAACATACTGAAATTTCTAAGTACATGTCTGGTGTAAGCACAAGATATTACTGAAATTTATGGTCCCTACCTACTCTGTGACAAATCATGATGCCTGATACAGACAGTGCCACACACTTAAGATCTACTAGAGATAACATAAATTAATTCCTTCACTCCACCTTCAGGCAGTGTGAAGACACACACACCTGAATCTTAAAGAACAATAACAAGAAGACTGTTCCTTCCACAGTGAAATGTTCTGAATTTCTGCAATGCTCACTGAATTACAGAACCTTCTTAAAACTAAAACCACAAAGTGATACTTCAGAATGCTGACAACGACTGTGTTAATATCAGAAGAACATAGTTGCGCTAATCTTATAGGTACAAAGCTAGTTCAAGTACCAAACATACCTCAGAGAGCTCTGGAAAGTCATTCTTCATGCAGAATGGACACTGCCAAAGTCCGGTTTCGTCATTTCGAACGGGATTGGCCTGGTCCAGTTGGTCGCCTTGGGGTTTTCTATGAGATATACCTAGAAAAGTTAACTTCCATAAATTATCCCATTCTTGACAGTAAAAGTACTATTAAATGCATATTAAGGGCCGTGCCATAGCTCAAGCGGTTAGTTGCTGGCTTCCCACCATGGCAGCCCGGGTTCGATCCCGGGTCTGGTCAAGTGGGATTTGTGGTGGACAAAGTGGTGCTGGGGCAGGTTTTCTCAGAGTACTTGGGTTTCCCCTGCCAATCTTCATTCCACCAATTGCGCCACAATGACCCTCACCTATCATCTGGGGCTGGTACAATAGGCCAGAAGTGGCTACAGTACAAGGCACTTAGTCCCACACAAATAGCAATAAAAAAAATGCATATTAAAGAATCTCCTTATCTTCATGGAACAAAGTTCTCTGAGAATCAAAGACAATCAACCGAATGAACCACACATGAGAGTGAATCATGTTGGTGGCATCCAGTATGCTGATTACCTTTAAACAACACTTCCCTTTTTCCTTTTTATTGGAGAATGAAACCTTATGTTCACATGGGAACCCAAAATCTCATGGAAGCACTCCTACCCAATTTTCGTGCTAACTGTGCACGTGATTTGTCGAGCATTTTCCAGAAGTTGCTATAGAAGTAAAAGATCATAACAACTTAATCAATTTGATATTAAGGCCCAATTTAACAACTGTTTCGTGCATGTTATGAAACTCATGTATGAGAGCCAGTACTTGTACTTGCAGTACTTGTAAAGAAATACACTGAACTATGTGGATGTTCCACTACCATGACTTGTGTATCTAATGTAATGTGAAATTCAAACTGAGAACAGCTAATAAGCTCAGAATCTTTGCTTTTAATTCACAGTAATTATAGATAATAAATGAAGATGTTAAATCTAAATAATAGAATGCATACACGAATCAAGAAATTTTTCACTTCCCTAGCAACCAGTGAAAATCATAACGCAAGGGTGATGAATGAATCAATTCATTTACATTTTCTACTCCATGGTAGCATAGTTGGTTGAGGCACTATGCTACAAGCCAGAAGGTCGCAGGTTCAAGTCCCGATGAGGTCATCAGATTCTTTTCAATTAACCTACTCCTTCCAGCAGCACTATGGTCCTGGGGTCAATTCAGCCTCTAACAGAAAGGAGCACCAGGAATATTCTTGGGAATAAAGGGCGGCCAGCGCGTGGGGCTGACAACCTTGTCACCATCTATGAGCCGATTATCTAGAAAATGTGGGAATCTCGACATCTCACAACCCTATGGGCCTCCACGGCCTGTTACAGGGATACCTTTACTTTTTCTTTTACTCCAAATTATCTTTCTAATAATAACCTCCTGAAGTCTGACCATAGGACAACCCTTCTGTCTGTATATATCCATCTATGTATCTAACAAAGTAAAGTAATGCAAGCTCCGTGCCAGTGCCAACACTTTTGCCATGAATATGCACATGCATGCATGCAAGCACAAGGTTACCCAGAGTACCATCATTACAGTATCATGAGTCTGCATTAACAAAGTGACCCTCAGCATAACAATGGCAGATGTCAAGAAAAGAGATACTAGTGCAAATGGGTAAGTATCAAGTACCACAGTTATGATTTGTCATTTAAGTTAATGAGAGGAACTTAATATCATACCTATCACAGTAGCAAGTACCATCTTTCCTATGAAGAAGGTCTCAGGATTCTCCTTGGTAAGCATATCAAACAATTCTTCTGGATTTGGTGATGTGTAACGACTGCGTAAATCTTTGTATCGGTGGTTCAGTTCAGCCCGAATATCATACAAGGTTATACTCTTGTTACCAAAACCTTGTCGTTCCAATTCTTCAGCAAAGGCATCCAAATCAAGATCTTTCAGTCTTTCAGGAGCTTCTAGAATTTCCTCCAAAGCTCCAGCAGGATTTGCATCCTCGTCGTCATACTCCAAAGCATCAACTGCCATTTTTCGAGCCCATTCATAAGTTTCAGGATGGACTCTAGAGCCATCAAGAACTTCAACATAAGCTTCAGTGCTGGAAAAAGACAATAAACTCATGATAATGCTGCATTTATTTACATAAGGGATGCAACCAGGTTATTAACAATTTGAACTCTTGAGCCATGCTGTACTCAGCTGGTTCATGCGTGTTGCATCCTGGCATCCTGCCATTCCATGACCCCCATCCCCACCGGCATTATGCTGACGTCTTTACTGTTATTTCTACCTATCTTTACTACGTGACCTTCCTTCCCTCTCCATGATTGCCTCGGAAGGAAGTAGGTGTGTCAGCAGTCTGAAGGTAGACCTACTCGCGAGTGGTTGCTTACCAGCAGCCAGGGGACTTGGAACTGAAATTCAGACTTTGTAATTCTAATTATGTTTGGAGAGTCTTCTGTCTGGCTGGTAAGGGTAAGGCTGCCCGCAGTCACAACAGAATATTCTTGATTACAGTGCAGTTGCGACTGTTTTTTTTTTGTATTATTATTATTATTATTATTATTATTGTTGTTTTTGTTGAATTTTGGTGTAGCCTGTTCGATGGCCTAATGAGGCTGGGACAAGTGGGGCAGTTTTAGGTTTCTACTTGTTACGACTGTTCGTAATATGTGATTACTTGGGTAATCGCTACTTTTGGTTGTGGTGCCTCGCCCTAAAGGATTTTATGCCGTGCTTTATTTATTTCTGTATATTGTGAGTTTCCTTGTTATGTTGGCTATTAAATATTGTTATTGGTTGTTTTGAAAGCCTGCATATATATTATCTCCTCCGTAAATGATCGGATACCCCATGAACACCCTGGGGAGCTTGTGAACGCGACAACAGAGCTCCTCCCGAATTCTATCTTCCGATGTGCTAGTATAGAAAGGTACAACTAGCGGTACACATACCGCGCGAGAAAGAGAAAGTAGTAGTGAAGAGTGAGAGAAGGGGGGGGCAGTTCACTCTATACTGTTTGACTGGCTGGGTTATTTACTTCTGCATTACATAGTGTACTGGAGGAATGTAGCATCAAATAGAGAAGAATGGCGAACAATCCTGAGGAAGGCCAGGGCTCACAAAGGGCTGTCGTGCCAGTGATGATGATGATTATGATGATGATGATGACGATGAGGACATAGTGTACAATAAAGCTGCAAGTTCAACTTATCATCCTGGCATTATCTTTCACAGATGGTGGAAAAACCATAAAATCTTCATTCAGAATAGCTATTAACCTGACCAATATTTGGACCAGGTACATCCTGAAAACAATTGTCACAGTTCAAACAAATCTGTTTGGTCTCAGTTGTAGAAGAATGATTCCTAACATAAGTAACTATACATACCTCAAAAGAACAGTCCATGATTTAAGTTTCCCGCCATTACTATTTAATTTCCATAGCCCAAATTCAGTGAGTTTGAAAATGAAGATTATTCCATGTGCAGTTTTCCTCACCTTAATGTCTAAACCACCTGTTCCCCAGAGAAATCTCATGTATTTATTTCTGTGCAGACTCTGGTAACAAAACCAGAAGGTTCAAAACCACGAATACCGAAGTCTGCCAACGTAACAATCCTGAACCAGTTCAGTGCAATTCACATTTTCTCTAATATGGATAATTTCACATTTTAAACAGTGTCCCGACATTTTGGTACTATAATGGGTTCTGGAACATAATTCTTAATATCTGATATCATGGAGTACTTCTTATTAAATTTGTCATGAAATAGCATTACATTATGGTTTGGATCTAAAGGATTCATAACCTTAACTCTTTGCTGCACCATTTCAATTCATTAAATCCACATGTTATCAGACCAATACATTTAAATGCTCTTTACACACTTAGTTTTAATACTTCAAACACTATATGACTAATTACAGCAGTTATAAACACTAAATTAATCTTCACAACTCACCTATCTCCAAGAGAATTAGTATCTATTTTGATGAATCCTGCACAGTTAATGAATACTTTTGGTCCCATGTGGCAGGCTGTAACTAGTTGTGTCCTATTCTCTAGCCTTTGATTGTTCTGCTTAAGAATTTTAAGGAGAGCTTGCCCCTTTCTGGGTCCAAGGCCACACACAAACTGTACCAAATTACAGGTGTAGCTCTGCAGCACTGCCAAGTTGATGTCCACTCCCACCTCATTAGTACGATTCACAAATTCTAGGTACAGAGCCTCCAGAAGCTCCTCTCTTGGAACTTGATCCTGAAATAAGATCAAAATAATGACAAATTTAATAAATGCTAACTACAGTGAAACCAAAACCTCCTCCCTCTGAACCTGCTACTGAAAAAAGAGAAAAATATGCAAAATAAAAACAGAAAACCGATTTTGTTCATCACTTGAGTATATTTTACTACAGTGGTTCCCAAACATATTCCAGGGTTCTGTGAGATGTTCTGTCAACAAAGAATGAGAAACATAAGCAAATTAAAAGCAAATTACTACCAACTTTATTCACTATTACATTTTAGTTGTTCCCAAAGAGTTGTCCAAGATTCTGCAAAAACATTTCTCTGACTGCAAGATTTCAACATGAATGGTTGCCTGAAACAAATTCCCTAACATATATTTTTTTTTTCCTTGGCACTACAGCCCCAGTGGGCCTAGGCCTACCTCCATGAACTTCTCCGTTCACTTCGGTTTTTCTAGATCTTACACATACAGTAGGACTCCTTGGGCGAGTGATCAGCTCGTCGCAAGGCCTCTACCTGTAGACAAACACAGAAAAACATCCATGCCCTGAGTGGGATTCGAACCCACGATCTCAGCTTCCGAGCTAGCGAGGACAGTGCATGCCTTAGACCACTCGGCTACCGTGACCGGCTAACATACATTTACTACATTAAAATTAAGACATCAATTTCAAACTGGTCTTCCATCCCCTTGGTGGTGCATGACGTTATCAGTGGAAAGAAACCTGTCCAATCACCTCTGTAATTTAACAAACTGAATACATATGCTACGATGAAGGAATCCAACAAATGAATGGTTTTGATGAAAACTTCAGCACAGAGAGGGTTAAATTATGAAGTTTACAATAAATTACCTTTCCTTTTTATTCATGTGTCATTTGGTCTTGTTTTGGTGTTCTACCAACAAGCTTTTAGGCTTAACAGAGCTCCATGAATAAAAAAATTTAGGAAACACTGCTACAGCACACAGGGTGTTAATGTTCGTAATATCTGCTTACCTGCAGTGTATGATATCTTAGACAAAGAATTTCTTCATCTGATGTACACAACTGTGAGAATTCAATCAGAGGATCTTGCATCCTACGAGCTAATGAAATAGCTTGACGTAAGAGTTGAGGATAATCTCGGAATTCATTCTGGAAGAGATATGTGATAAAAGTGTATCAAAACAAAATTTGAATTATGATGGAACTAGATACATACATGAAAGTAAAATGAACGAAAATTACATTTATACGTTAACATGTTTATATAATATCAGACTTAAATAATTATTAGGCTAACAGCATAAAAACTGAAAACTATGCGAGCAAAGGATATTAAACACGAATTCCGCTGTATTTCATACTGTTTCAACTACCTGTTAAGTTTTTGTGATATCTGTGAGAAAAATTCTGCACTTATTTTTGAAAGAGTTGCAGGGAAAAATGTACAATGTACAAAAAAAACTGTTATGAATTGTTCAGTGAATGGTTATGTTCTTAAATCTTATGGATTTTCAATTGATTATGTACTCTACAAATAATGACACCACATAAATAAGAATCTCATATGCCATACAATACAAAACAGCTACACTGTATACAATAAATATCACCCTTGCAAGAAGAACATCCATATAACAAAGCTAAACATCAGTACCCCACACATCTCATTAGATGGTTCTATTGCAGTGTTCCAATTCAATTTTCCTCTCTGAGAATTACATTTCTACTTCTATCCCTTCTTTTATCCCCTCAGTACATCAAAGAAAAATTCAAGACCAATATTTAGACTACACTTATGTTTCTCTCTGTATTTTTATCATTTTATGTTCATGTGTTTAAAAAAAGACCATGTCTGTGGTCAAGTGGTTAGAGTTCCTGGCTACAGATTCAGAGATCTGGGTTCAATTCTGGGCACTACCAGATTTTTTCTGAGAAGCAGTGGGTCTGGAACGGGGTCCACTCAGCCTCACGACGATAACTGAGGAGCTATTTCAAGGAAATAGCGGCTCCGGTCTAGAAATCTGAAATTAACTGCCATGGGGATTCGTTGTGCTGACCACGTGACACCCTCTATCCACTAAAGTTGGCACTAACTTCGCCGACCAGCGGCGGTCACTCGGTCGGCATAGTTCGCTTGCGGACTAAAACGACGGAGTTTTTTTTTTGTTCTGTTTAAAAAAATACTTCACAGGCTGCTGTTTTGCACTGTTCTGGGGTCTCTCTATTTCATAATTTTCCTTCCATAATTAGAAAAAATTAAGACTATTTTGTATTCCTATATTGATGCCTCCATCAAGTGTCCCTTCGGACTTTATTTCACCCCCAAATTTTCTAGCTAACTTCTGGAAATTAACATTTATTCAGACATTTATTTGTTCCTTGAAATAGTCAATGTCTAGTTCATAATTATTTTCATTCCCTATTCCTATAGAATACTGTACTTTACTTTATTTTAAATTCTTACAGAATAAGGTTCTACTGATTTAATTTATCTTCATTCTTCTTTTTGTCTTTCCCAGAAATTGACTTGCTGTCTGCTAATATTACTGTTTTCAAACCTGATCTTTCGTTCCTTCATTTTAACTTTATTAGAGGTTCCATCCAACATGCCATTATACAAGACTGATAAGACGACATTTCCGTGTCTCACTTACTGCCAACCATTCTAATTTTAATACAATCTGTACAATCCCTGTATGAGTTTTTGCAAAACAGATAATAAGATATACAATTTTTCTGACTTTTAGCCTAGAATTATACTTCCTAGGAAAGCATCTAATGAAATCAGGAAATGTACTATATTTTTTACATTTAATCTTGAAGGCCACACAAAGCAAAAAATTCTTATACATAAGATGATTGCATGAAAAATCTTTACAAAATGTGTGCTTGACAGGATTGGTGTAGAAAGTGATGAACCTTCAGGTTCCTTATAAACAGGATCATTTCTTGACCAACTGAATTACTACCACTTACTTCTGCCTCAAGAAGCTGGATAATAGTAGCAGCAGAAGCATCACAGTGGTAACATAATAACTGAATTACTTACCTCACCCTTGATAGAATTTGAGTAAATTTTGGCAAGTTCATTATCACAGATTTCTACAGAAATTGATGGGAACTGTTCATCTTCAACTAACTGAGCAACAATTTCTCTCAAATCTGCAGCCACCATCAATGCTTCTCGTGATTCACCACCCACACAAATCACATGAGGTTTTTTTGTTGCGATGAAATTCCTCATGGCCAATAAGTCTGCTTCCTGTAAGAATAAAAATGACACAAAATGAGAGGCTTGAAGTTCCATCGAGGTAAGAGTTTAGAATGTGATCTTATGGGTTATGACAACATGTAGTCATATAGCTAGTTACCAACAGTTCAGATGAACCTGCTGCTTTCATCTTCAGGGTAAAGGGGAAGACAGATGTAGTATGATTCTTAATAATTTTGACAATTACTAACATTATCACATGGCAACACAACCCAGATGATTGCAATCTAGACAAGAAATATGACCACTAATACATTCATTCATCTGTAATCTGTCAAGACGACAGGTCCACAGTCTCTTCCAAAACAATTCCTCCACTTGATGCGATCTAGAGCTTTCTCCTTCAAACGAAAATATCCTCTTCTGTCCCCAAGGTCATCCAGCATCTTCTTACGTCTTCTACCTCGTCTACTGGTCACTTCTATCCACCCCTCTATCTTTCCTTTAATAACTTCTTTTAGAAGGCAGTTACCGCGTAAGATATGACCAATCCAATTAGCCTTCTGTTTTCTTATTTCGTGTAGGTTATTCCTCTGCTCACTGACTCTAAATAACACTTCTTCATTTCTCACATAATCGGTCCAACTGATCTTCTGCATCCTTCTCCAACACCACATTTCGAGGCTTTCCAGGTGTTTCTGATCTACTGCCCTAAGTGTCCAAGTTTCAGTCCCATACAAAGCGATGCTCCAAACGTAGCATTTCACTAGTTTCTTTCTCAAATTTAAGTCCAATTTGCTGGTAAAAAGATTCTTCTTCTTGCTAAATGCAGCTTTTGCCATGGCAATCCTAGATTTAATTTCACACGTACACCTTCCATCATCTGTTAACAAGCTACCCAAATATTTAAAACATTTTACATTCTCCAGTTGTTTTTGGTCTACAATTACTGAAAAATCAGTTCCATACAGGGTGAAAAATACATGTATATGAACACAAAATATACTAGTATAGGTCAGAAAGCAAAGCGGTGTGCAGTGATTCGATACTTGTGGGTTGAAGGTGGAAGAGGTGCAGAAATTCACTGAACACTATTAGTCTAGTAATATGACAGTGTCCGGCTGCAGTGAAGCATGTATGAATACATTAATATGTTCAAAAATGGCTAAACAAATGTCCCTAACAAAGAATGACTGAGGTAACCATCAATATTAACCAGTGAAAAAAACAATGAACAGGTCACACTCTTTCTGGACAATATGAGAATGACTACTGCCAAAGTGAAAACCAAAAGCAGATCAGTCATGGTCCTGCTAAGGTAATCATCGACCACAGACTTTACTTCTACAAAGTATGTACAAGATATGTTCCAAAACAACTCATGAAACAGCACAGGGATACTCAATTTGACAGGTGTAATTACTTTTTGAAACTGTATCATGAGCATGCTGACATGTTTTTGAGTTCCAATGCCAATAGCAGTGGAACATCAATCTACCACTAACAACCAAGGAGCAAATGTCAGAGTATGGACTGGAAACACATGAAGTTTTGTGAAAGCAAAGTCCAAATCTCACCCAACAAGGAATGGGATGACAATAAGTAATGCATGTTACAGTGAGATGCTGCATGATACACTTAAGAGTAAATGCTGAGATTAACCGCCAAAAGGTGTTGTGTTGTTGCAAGACAATTCTCATCCTGATGCTGTTACGCTCCAGCAACTATGATTTCACATATTACAACTTGACCACATGGCCCTAACCTTGCTCAATCAGATATTCATCTCTTTGGATCACTTGAAGAATCCTTAAAGGACTACTGTTCTCACAGTCACTACAAGCTGAATGATGCATATGTGGCTTACCACTTGATCAGAAACATGTTTTCTAATGGCATACATAAGCTCATGCAATGCTGGGCCAAATGTGATGAACAGCATAGAGGGGAGACTATGAAAAAAAAAAAGTGATGCACTTGTGAGTTACATATTACTGTTGTGTTAATTCTAATACATATGACAGCCATAACAGAAGTAATAAGCAGCATTGGTTTATGTATGTTTTATCAGCGAAACGAGACCTGAAATTATTTGGCCGACAGCTCTAGCCATTTCCTGCAACCTGAAATATAGGGCCAGTGGATGTGCATCAATACTTATCCATAACCCACGGCAACAAAAAAGCTGTAAATATTGTACCATTTCGCCAGTGTGCTGTGACTGAATCCCTTGCTAAAGGAGAACCAAAGTGCTGTAAACATCCTTGATCATTATGGTCATGTCTATGGAGATTCCTGCACAGGTGCTAGGCTAACTATGTTTGATTTTGGGTGAAATGCTTCAAAGATCTCAACAAGGACATCTCTGCTCAGCCTTTTAGCTGTCAACCAAGTACCATCACCATACTGTGCAATGAGCAGAAAGCTGATGCACTTGCCACAGAAGACCAAAGAGCGACAGGGAAATCATAGCGCAGCTTGCCAGTGGACACGATGCCATGCAGGAGATGATTAAAGCTTCTGAAGTCTTTGGGATACCATAAAATTTGTTATTGCTGGGTTCCCCGACTGCTGACAGACAAACAAAAATGAGCATACATTGATGTGACATCACAGATGTGTCAGCTATACACTGTTGAGGGCAATGACTTCCTACCGAACATCGTGACTAATGATGAAAGGTGGTGGGCATCACAAATTTTTTCCCAGAGCTTCTTTCTTATTTCACTCATGAACAATACCTTCTGTAACTTCTCTTCTTCTCGAAATGAATTTTTCCTCTTCATAAGGTGTGGAAGTCTAAGGTAGTCTGTGCAGTCCCCATCTGGTCCTACCATGCAGGCAAAGGCAGCCTGAGAGTAGTCAGGAACATATGCCACAGCCATCACTCGAAGCCCCTTTCCTGTGTCCCACTCTTCTTCATCCTCATCAGCAAACTCTACAGAATATGGAGCCACCTAAATCAGACAAGGAATTATTAATTATATCAAAATTCCAGTAACTAGAGATGTTGAAATGCAAAAATAAATTTAACATCTTTGTTTTATTGTAGCTTCAATCTTCAGAATTCCTTATTGACATTCGTGCTTCCATAATACAAATCAGTGCTTCCAGAGTTTCATCTAATGAGCTATAATTTTCCGCTTTATACTGTTATGCTATAACATTAATTACTGGGTGGTGGGGAGGGTTTTTTACTGTTAAAATGATTTCCATCTTCGTTCCATGGAAAATCTCATTACTTTCAAATGCTTTAAAGGTCAGTCTCCCTTTATGTAATAATGAAAGTACATTTTTGTCATTTCTGCATATTAGGAAGAATAAAAGTTTGTAATACGGTCAATTTAAATTAATGGGTTAATCTCTGAAGCTTTCACTTGGTGAATTATGCACAAATGTTTCAAATTTCACAGACTAACTCAAATGGTGAACTAACCTTCAACCAATTGTACAATTTTCTGCAGCAAGTTTTAAGTACTGCTTCCCGTGCCTCAGCTAGCAAATGTGTCTGCAATTCCTTCCTCAATTCAGGAAGCAGTAGACGTGTAAGAGCCAGCTCTACACTCTCAACCCTAAGAGAATTCCATTCTTGAACATTTTTACTAAACTCATCCTGAAATAACAACAAACGATAAATTAACATATTACTACCATAATATTGCAGATATTGTAAAAGTAATGATTATGAATCAATCAGAAAATATCGGCGATAGTGTCTCAACCTACATTATAGATATCATGGAGAAAGGGGGTCTAAATTCTGGACTGAGATACTGGTAACTGCCATCAAGACTACAACGAATTTTAATCAACAGTGACATGAAAACAGAAATATGTGGAGGTGAAACTCTTGGAAAATTTGAACAATAAATTGTAACTGATAATTTTTTTAAACAATTACAATGCTGAAAAAAAAAACCATCAGAAGAGCTTAGGCAGAATATTACTCTACAATCAAAAAATGTCCATCCAAATCTTGAATTTTTAAAACTTTGTAAACAACTGACTTATATACATCTTATTACAAGGGTCTAAAATAAAACATTTCACTGACATTCCCTTTCATTTTCTCACACTGTAGTATATACAAGAAAGTATGGCAACTGTGAAAAAACTGATCTCAAGAGTCTGACGTTTTGAGGCCCCAATAATATGAAATAGTAGTTTTCAGAATGCTAGCTGTCTACCTGTAAGCACACATGCCTTGTTAGTGACTGAACAGTTTGATGGATCACACATATTCAGTATTTATGAGTTTACCCCATCTTAACCTTTAAGGGACGAATATTATATACAGGGTGTCCCATAAGGAATGTGCCAGACTTTGGGAGGATGTTCCTTATGATAAAGTATGCTGATATAACCCAAAACACCTATGTCCAAAGTTGAATGGTTATGGAGATAATGGCCAGAGAAGTGTGAAACTTTGACAGGTGTTACACACTTGTTGATTACCAAATAATATTAAAACTGGCAGGAATATGTGGTTTCTGTAATGTTAATAATGTATGTAACATCAAACTAACTTGTGAGTGACATGAAGCCATTAAACTGAACTACAAAAAACTCACACGCCATGTCGTAGTTGTCGTTAGGGTTCCAAGTACTATACATAACACATGAATGGCAAGCACTGACATAACATGGCTGACTGTGCATTCTAGTATGCGAGTGTATGCGGCTAGTGTGAGCCGTTATCACCACACTCAAGGACAAATACTGATAAGACTTGTCAGCTGACAGGTACGGTGCATGGACCCGCCAGAAGACCACACTTTTCTCGGGCCATTATCTCCTTAACAGTTCAACTTTGGACATAAGTATTTTGGGTTATATCGGCATACTTTAACATAAGGAACACCGTCCCAAAGTCTGGCACATTCCTCCTGGGACACCCTGTATATCTTCAGCAAGCAGCATCCCATGTTGGCCGAATGTTATATTTATATGAGGTAGGACATGTGCTCTCTTTGGGAGTGCTGACAGTTTGATCTTGGTTTGAAACCAAAACAAACCCACGCAAGGTCATGTCAGTGGCCCATTAGTTAGCTCTGAACAATGAAATTGTTTATCAGGTACTGGTTTCAATACTATTTACATTTAGATATGACTGTTTATGACCTGGTCAGCCAAATAGAGCCCAGCTTTGTTTTGAGAACTGAGGAGTAAACATTCATCTGTGCTTGCAGATCAGTGCTTCCAGAGCTTTCAAGGAAGTGTGACGTATTCAAGGATTGGTTTTCAGTAGCAAATTCTCAGTTAGGAAGTCGGTTTCAGACTCATATATTCCTTTATATATCATTTTTATTTTGTGTCTTGGAAGAGGTATAAACCTGCTGAGCCAATATTACTTTGTGAGTAAAAGGCATATTCGCCACTGTGAGTTTCCAGTGTTGGACTGGCACTCTTTTTGACTAGTATTATAATTACTTTGCATCACCATTTTGCGAGTATTACTAACAGGTATGTCGCTTTGTCAATCGACATAATTTACGTGATTTTGCTGGAAACCCCCTTCCCCCAAGATGATTCTTCAATCGCACAAGGCAGATATCACGGTCAGTGGCATTTCTCAGGGAGGCCAAGGTTATCTGGGGCCCAACTGAGTCGACTGGAGGTGAAATATTCACAACATTGGCCAACCAAAGGGAAATAAAGATCTTGTTGTTGTGTGTGTTCGCTAAATAAGAAAAGCAGCACAATTTTCTATTGTAAAAACTGTGATGTTCGCGGACTGCTTCGAGAAGTGGCACACGCGCATCAAAATGTGAGGTATCGTAAACTGTGCTGACGCAGCTCAAACTAGCATACAGTCTGAACAAAATATTACTGTATATAGTGTGATTATATTTACAATATCACCAAGTCTCAAGGTTGAAAAAAACTACAGGAAAGTTCTCTGGAATTTCATAACACATATAAAAAATGACACAAACTCCATCAAAAGTGCAAACAATATATATTATATGTCTTTGATCTTGCTCTCTTCTACACTACACATTTCGGCCTCTATCGGCCATCATCAGGTGTATACTCTTACGTTACTGCCACACTGAACCCAGTCTAAAATTTAACATTTAAAAAACACATTGTTACTTTCTTCGTTATTATCAACATCTACCTCGTTGATATCTGTCTGGTATGTAGATTATTTTGCACACGTCAATTTTGGTTTTCCTGTAGTAGCACTATAAAATCTTTAGTTATAATTTTAAAATCCTTTAAAATTTTCTCTAAATTTTAAATTTAGAGAATTTCAAATTTAATTAATTTAATTTCAAATTAAATGAAGATTCTACCATACTTAACCAGTAAACTTGTGTTCCTAAAGCAATACATAGTTTCGAGCCACAGGTTTTAAGAACCAAACATCTGAGAAAATTATAATCAATACAAATTTGATATCAGAGATTAGAAAAGGCTAAAAGTGAAACGGAATTATTTCAGATGTTAAATCATTTCAAGACACAACTGAAAATTCATAGCTCTGTTGGTTTGGGTACATATTTTATCTATACGACTATAAGCCGGCATCAGATATAAGACAACCACTAAATGGAATGGAATACATTTGAAGGAAAAACAATTGTATTAGTTTGTCACAAAAAAATCTTAAGATTAATTTCCTAGCACAAACGTAAATTTTATAATGGCCAAGTTTAGTTCCATGGAATGTTTGTAAATTGTGGCAAGAGTAATGAAATATAGTACTGTATTTTGAATCTTTTGACATTGTTATGATATTCCAAGACCATGTGAATTTTGAGATATACTATAGGTGCCAGACGTATAATTTCCCTGGAGGCTGTTGAATCACATTTGCTTTTTAACCAAAAATATAAGACATCCCTTAATTTGTTAATAAAATGAAAATAAATATCATCACCTTCCTCTCAAGTAAATATGGTATGTGGGATGAAAAATAAAATACATTCAAAGAAATTTAAGGAAGATATCACAACAAGAAATTCTAGACAGAGAAACAGATAAAATTGAGAAGGTACAGTGAAACCCCAATTTAAGCTTTCTGGAAAACAGACCTACAATAACGGTTAAATTTAGTTAAACTGATAATCACTTCCAAAAAACTGACACTTCAAAGCAACACAAACAGTACAAAAAGTAACCACTTCCAGCTGACACAGAAAATGAATAAAGAATGGATGACAATGACTATGCCTATTACAAATTAAAAAGATGCCAACCTTATTAATCTGTGCATAATTTACTGCATACTGTGCAAACAATGACCTTGAACTACGCAAGGGGAGCCACATGCAAGTTGGAACACACCAAAAAATTCCGTTTAACGCTAAAATGAGATGCCAAACATGTGCAGCAACCAAATTTCATACGTAAAACATGGGTATACCCTTAAAGAGAGAAGCATTAAATCAAGGAAAATAACACACATTAGACATGTGAAGCTTTGGTTGAGACCACAAAAAATATGTTTTAAATGTGTCAGTCACTTAAATTGGGGGCTCAGTCTTCAGAATAAACTGAAAGAAAAAGGAATGGTGAAATGAGGCTGAACTCCAACTCAACAGACAAAGCAGACAGCTATCTGCATTGTCTCTGTACCATTAGTAGATAAGAATGAACAAAGCATAACATGTCACATTACAGTACATGTTACTAAACATGGTGGGATACTCAAGACAAGCAAGGTAGAACTTAGCAAATTCCAAAGGTTGGCTTGCTTGGGTATCACAGGAGCAATTCGAACATCTCCAACAGCTGCACTGGAGACACTCCTTGGACTCCCCCCACTGTATATACAGTTGGAGGCAGAGGCCAGGGCAGGAATCTACCATCTCCAGTGCAATGATCAATGGAAACCTAAATCCGATAGTTTCAGACATGCATACATAACTCAGGACATGAAAAAAGAATCCATATTACAAATAGGGTCTGACAAAATGATACTGAGACATGTATATGAAAAACCATTCAGTCAGATTTCCTGACAGGAGTGAGTGGGAAGACGGCTTTCGGCCCGATAGAAAAGGGGGACTGATCTGGTACACAAATGGTTCCAGGATAAATAAGGGCACTGCAGCTGGTGTGTTCTGCTATGGCACGAGGCGGAAACTTAGTTTCAGCCTTGGGCAGTATACAACAGTATTCCAGGTAGAAGTATATGCCATTAAGGCATGTATTATGGAGAATCTAGATAGGACCTACAGAAATAGGAACATCTACATTCTATCTAACAGCCAAGCTGCACTTAAAATGCTTGACAAACACCAGATCAACTCAAAATTGGTCTGGGATTGTCACCAAACTCTCATGGAACTGGCCAAACATAACAGGGTACAACTGATATGGGTGCGAGGGCATGAGGGTATTGCTGGAAATGAAATAGCAGACGAATTGGACAAGACTGGAGCTGAACATCCATTCATAGGACCTGAACCAGCCTGTGGCATCTCTATAGGAGTTACCAGAAAGGCAATCAGGGACTGGACAAATATGAATCACAAGAAATACTGGGGATCCTAAACTGGACTTAGGCAAGCAATGGGACTCATACGAGGACCCTCTACTAAAAGAGCAAAGGAACTGAAGTTAAACAGGAACCAGCTACGATGGGTGGTAGGACTACTTACAGGACACTGTCACCTCAAAGGACACCTCTTCAAATTGGGACTAAGTAACAGTCCAACTTGTGAGAGGTGTCAAGAAGAAAACAAAACAGCCACACATATCCTGTGCGAAGGTGAGGCCTTAGCTTATTTATGATTGCGCCACTTGGGTCAATATTTTATAGAATCAAGTGACTATTTCGATGTCCCCAAGTACAAAATCCTGCGCTTCATTCAGAGTGCAGGATTGTTGAGGAGATAATCAGAAGGGGAGGTACAATAGATCACTGTGGTCGCAGTGCAAGGGCCAAGAAGGCCCACATGGTGAGATAAAAAATTTCATATTCAGGCATTTAAGTAGTACAGAAGCAGAATCAACCATGCTGGTCACTGTCACACATGAACTATTTCTGTTATAAATATTTTCAATAGCTATTTTTATGGTGTGAGTATTGGGACATTCTTAGATTAAAAAAAAGAAAACAAGCAGGAAAAAAAATGCTGCTATATTACACAGCAAAAGAATACTCGTGAAGAACTATAATCCATAAATTTTACACTCATTATTTACTCATGGAAATGAGCCCTTCTTGAGAAGCTGCCAATTGTACAGCTACTCAAGAATTTCCCAGCATTTTATGGAACCAAAAGGTTCATTACCATGTTCACAAGAGCCCTCCACCGGTCCCTATCCTGGACCTGGACAGATCCTATGGATAAATGACGTAGGCTAAGGAAAATAGATATATCTTAGAGAGATAGGATGGGATGGTGTGGATTGGATTGATCTGTCCAGGTCCAAGGCTTTTTAAACATTTTCGTAAGAAGCTTATTTTTTACACTGAGAGGGACCCACCTACATGGTTACACTTATTATTGATTGTTTTAATTGTTATCTTACTCTGTAGTAAAGCTGCTTCACTTCTTCGATGTAAGAGGGAGAAGTGATGCCATCAATATTTTCACTTATGGAAACTGTTATCAGTCTGTCTGCTTCAGCCAAGGTCAACTTGAGATACTGATCACCAGTTAGATCTCTCACAGGTTTGCTTTTCACATATTTCATGCTGCAACAAAAATAGTAGAGAAACATTAGCTTACTGCAGTCACACATATTTCATACCCCAAAGAAACATTACTTCCCATAATGTATGAAACAGGAACATGGATATAGGCAGTATATGATTTTTCAGGATCACTGATAAATTAACAATGGATAAAATCTGAAAAAAAAAGGTACCTAATAAAATATGAAGTGAAAACACTACAAGAAATGGACAACAGTAATATGAATTAAATTAACATGGTAAATCATCTCTGAGTGGAGACCAAGTACTAAGCAGAGAATACAAATGGAGAAAGACACATACACAAAAGAAAAAGTATGGAGGACAGAGTGACAGTGAGAGAGTGAGAGAGAGTAGCAGAATTTATTTGAGGACAGAAAAGAAAAGAGGTGGCTTTTTCATCGGATGAATAAATCTGGTGCAATCAACAGTAAATGGTGATGATTATGTAGGGGAAGCTGTAATGAGATTCTCTGTGGCTTCAATATGACACATATTTAAAGCACAAGACAGCAATATTTACCTGTAACATGGATGATTTTCATCTATCTCCTTTATCCCCTTCTTAGTTGGCTTAATGTTAATTTTGGCACGTTCGAAAAATGTCTCACGTACACACTTCCTAACCAAAGGATCACGTGACAGCTGCATTGCAACCATAAATTTGGCTGCTCTGAGGACTTCCTCTCCTGTGGTGAATTTACTACGAAAAAAAAAGCAAGTACATTATCCTTACTTAAACAAATAAATGAATCTTAAAATTATACTTCTATCTGCAACATATAAAAACTAACTCTATGATAGTAGTAAAAGATTTGATATGTTACCATAAATTCAAAGCTACTACTGTACAATCCCGAGCAAGTGCTTCTGAACCTCACAACTCATTTCGGTTTTAAAACCCACCTTAGTGGTATCTGCAATCCTATCATCTTCCACTCACGGGCTGCTTTGTGTGTACCTGTGTATGAGATCATGGACAAGACAGGCATATGCATGCACATGATGTTATGTTGAAAAGCAAGCTTGATGATTAATAACAAGTATTAACATCACATGCTGATCACACTGGCTGTGCAGTCTAGGGCACCATTTCTCAACTGCTAGGTCGTGGCCCAGTACTAGGCCCTCATCTTATAGAAAAAAGAATTTACTGGGCCTCTGTCTCACAAAGATTGAGAACCACTGGTATAGAACATGAAATGTCTATGCCCATTCGAACACCGGAACTGTGGGTTCAAATCCCGCTCAAGGCATGGATGTCTCCATTTAGTCTGTGCAGGTACCGGCATTGCATCAGGCTAGTCCCCAATCCAAGGAGTGCTACCAACTATCTACGGTTAAGAAACGGAAGTGAAATGAAGCACTTCATGGATGCTCCAAGTGGAAGCAACAGGAAATAGACAAGACTGACAGACAAATAGATTAGAATTACAAGAATTTATTCTTCTCCCATAGGTGTACTTAAATTATATCTTAATATTAAAACTCCAAAGCTTAAATTAAAGCATCGAAAGTGGCCATACTTGCTGATATACTCCTTTGCTATTTCCATTGGCTCTGTAGGCTCCTGCTCAACCTCATGGCGCTGGTAATTGTCCCGCAAATTCTCACCAAACTGCTCAGGGGTCAAGCCAAACTTCTTTGCCAAACCATCTGCAAATTAAATTGCAGCAGGCACTTGTTAGATTGTGGATCTGGATATCCCACAGCTCTGACCATGTTTTGGTTACAGTACAAGAATGAATTGCGACATTCTTTGCTGTAGTATACAGGTGAAGAGGGTGAAGTCCATAGCCTCATATGAATAGACTGTAAATTTCTGTATAAGATGGATATGACATCTTAACATGTCATGCACTACTCTGTATCTTGGTGGGTATGATGTCTCTACATGTCAGGCAGGCTTCCAACTACACTATTGTAGATATAAAGACAGTAAGCAATGCTTGCTAGATATTATAATTATTTCAGAGTGTGTCAAGAAAGTACTGACTGCTTGATAGCTATCCTGGGTTCAAGTTCTTGCGAGTAAACATGGCAGGTCCTAGCAAGATACGTGAGAATGATGAGGTGTTATATGAACTGTTGCAAGAGAATTAACACATCAGTGTGCTTGCTTTATAGACTGGCAGAAGGCATTTGACCGTGTAAATTGGACCGAATTAATGCAGATTCTAAAGGAAACAGGGATCGATTGGCGTGAAAGAAGACTGATTAGTAAATTGTACATGGATCAGAAAGTTAGAGTGCGACTAGACAGAGGGAAGACAAGAAGTGTGAAGATTGGAAGAGGAGTTCGACAAGGATGCTGTTTATCACCAATTTTGTTCAACTTGTACAGCGAATGTCTTACCAAAGAAGCTCTGGATGGGCTTGGAGACTTCAAATTAGGAGGGCAAATTATTCAAATGGTGAAATATGCAGATGACCTTGTGTTAATGGCTAAGGAAGAAACTGTGCTACAGGGTATGATTGATAGACTAATCGAAATTGGAAGGTGCTATGACTTGGAAATGAATGTGGAAAAAACAAAAGTAATGAAAATTTCGAGACAACCAACCCCAGTCACAATAAAGATAGACCAAAAACAACTGAAGAATGTGAAATGTTTTAAATATTTGGGTAGCTTGATAACAGATGATGGAAGTTGTATGTGTGAAATTAAATCTAGGATTGCCATGGCAAAAGCTGCATTTAGCAAGAAGAAGAATCTTTTTACCAGCAAATTGGACTTAACTCTTTGACTGGCGCGGGCGTGTTTTAACGCCCGGACGATGCCAGCCGTTCCCTGGCGTTGGCGTGTTTTAACGCTTTGACAATCTCTTCCCTTCTTTGCTCTCTTGGCACACATCAACCAAAGACATATATATGATAGTTTTTGTGCATGTTTGTAAAGAACCCTTGTAAACTTTGTGGGGGTCTATATTACTGTCAGAACCCTCTGAGAAGGAAAAGGTCAGAAAATATTTCACATTCATTCAGTTTCACCATGGCTTCTTGCAGCAAGTGTCTTCGTGTTCCTACAGACCAGTTGGAAAATGTTGTGAACGAGATTTGTTCTGATGATGATAGTGGCGATGAAATAATGATTCCTGAATTGGATGAAGTTGATAGTGACAATAATACAGTGATAGACAATGATCCACAAGACAGTAATCATGAACATTTACCTACCACGAGTGCGGTGCCTGACACGCCCATCTCATGAACGTACGGAGACATTGTACCCCCAATATTTCCATTTGCTAATAGTTTCGGGATCAAAATTGATATAACACATAAAATGCATCCCTTTTCTGGATTAAAATTATTTCTGGATGACGACTTGGTAAATCACATCACAACTGAAACCAATCGCTATGCTCACCAGCACTTCAACACACATGAATTAGCTCCTCACTCTCGAAAACACAATTACAATTATGTCACATCAGATGAAATCTGGACATACTTAGGAATTGTGTTCATGACAGGAATCGACAAACGCCCTGAAATTGAAGAATATTTGTCCACTAGGCCCCTATTTCACACCCATGGT